GCATTATACAAGAGGAGAATTACAATAGTCTAAACTCTCACAAGGAACATTTCCCAGGGCCAGTGGTGGCCTCTGGGGAGGACTGTGTTTTAAACAAAGTCCCTGGTTGAGAGGGGGGCTCTGTCAAAGTCCACTGCCTCTGTCCCACCAGTCAGACCCACTGGGGGGTCTTCCCTGGCCCGTGGAAGCCTTAGAGAAAGGTCTGGGCCCTGGCTGGTGTGGCTCAGTTGGTTGGGTGTCATCCCATGTACCGAGAGGGCACCGGTTTGATTCCTAGTCAGGACACATGCCCGGGTTGCAGGCTCAATCCCTGGTAATGGGCACGCAGGAGGCAGATCCAGGGAACACTTTGTAAAGTATATAATTATCTAACCACTATGCTGCACCCAGAAGCTAATACAAAATAATATTGAATATAAAATATATATATAATTTTAATTAAATAAATAAAAAGTAATACAAAAAATTAATTCATAGCAGCATTCTTCATAATACCCCAAAAGTGGTAACAACCCAAATGAACACCAATTGATGAATGCATAAACAAAATATAGTATATCTGTACTATGGAATCTTATTTGGACATCAAAAGGATGAAGCATGATCTATGCTATAACATGGATGAACTTTGGGAACAATATGCTAAGTGAAAGAAGCAGATGCAAAAGGCCACATAATGTATGGTTCCGTTTATATGAAATGTCCAGAATAGGTAAATCCAGAGACCAAAAGTAGATTGATGGTGATGGAGGAGTTGGAGGAAATAGAAAGTAACTGCTAATAGGCCTAGAGTTTCTTTTGGGGGTGATGAAAATATTCTAAAATGAATTATGACCACCCGGTGTGGCTCGGTTGGTTGGAGCATCCTCATGTACACCAAACCCACATCATGTGGGTTTGATTCCAGTCAGGACACCTACCCAGGGTTCAGGTTCAATCCCCATTTGGGGCACGCACAGGAAGCAACTGATCCATGTTTCTCTCTCCCATCGATGTTTCTCTTCTCTCTCTCTCTCTCTCTCTCTCTCTCTCTCTCCTCTCTCTCCTCTCTCATCAATAAAAAGTATATCCTCAGGTGAGGATTTTTTAAAATGATTTGTAGTGATAAGGGCACAACACCACTGAATTGCGTAATTTAAAGAGCTGGGTTTTATGGCGTGTGAATTGTAAATTATATCTCAATGAAGCTGTTACATTATAAACTGAGAGGGTGAAAGCTGGCCAAAGGAAAGGCATTTTCTCAACGAACTAGTGTTTATTATCAAACCCAAGGCTTCAATGCCCTACAAATGGAAGAAAAGAAGGGAGAAAAGGTATAATAGAAAAGGGTCGAGAGACCTGGGTCCCAGAATTAGTTCTGCCATTAACTTTGTGTTTCTTTGGGCGAGTCTTTTTACTTTCTGGGCTCCAATTTCTCGTCTGTCAAATGGGGAGGTGAGGAGAGACTGGATGGGCCTTAACCAGTCTCTAAGGTCTCCTCCTCTCACATTTGTGTGATCTAAGGAGAGTGAGGTAAGAGAGGAAGCAGGTAACTCTCAGTGTCCTCACAACAGAGGGCAGTGCCCCTAGGCTTTGGGACCAGGCCAGAGACTGCCACTGAGGCAGGGAAGTCTCAGAGACCAGACTTTGGGGTCACAAGCACCTTAGCAGAAAGTCCCCCAGGTACGTAAGTGGTGGCTTCTCTTTTGGCAGAAGCTTCCCTCAGAGTCTGCTTTCTGTCATTTGCATTTTGTAGAATTTTACAAGGACAGCTCCTGCGTCAGGTAGGGATGAGCTATTTCAGAGAAGTGTCCTCTCTACACAGAGCTGCCAGAGCCAGGGGCGGCCCCTGGAAGAGAGGTTTCCACAGTAGGAAACCTCGGAGCTGCTGTCCTCAGGAGGTCACAGACACGTGAACAAAGATTCACAAATCCGCAAGAAAACGCCAGAGACTGAAGACTGTTCAGAACACGCTGTGAGCACAGAGTGACTTTCTGAAGGATTAGTGAAGAGAGGGGAGTAGCCACGCCAAATGGGAGACAAAAGAGGAGCTTCAGAGCCCGGCTAGGAAAGGAAGGGTGTTTCTGGTGGAGGAAAAGGCAGGTGTACAGAACTGGGACACGTGGGACAGATGCTGTCTGCCCCCATCTGGACAGGGTGAGACGTTCAGTTCATTTTAGTGAAGAATAGGGTGAGTTGGAAAAGTGGTGGGAAATGAGGTCAAGAGAGCAGTCATCCTTAGCAAAGGTTTCTTTTCATTTTCAAAAGAGTCATTAAAGAGTTTTGTATTGTTTTTAGAAAGGTAAAACTTTCACGTGCTACAAAAGGGACTACCGGAAAAATTCTCTTCCACCCCAGTCTCCCAGTCACTCAGATCCCCTCTTTGGAGGCACTAAAGTTCACATCACCAACCTCTTGTGAATCCCCCTGGAGATGGGGAGTATCTGTGAATGAGCAGAGAGTGAATGAACAGGTAACGCACACACCACACAATTAGATGCATATTCGTATGCACACATACATATTCCCCTTTCTTTACACAAATGGAAGTACATTGGACACACTATTCTGTATCTTGTTTTAGTGGGTATAGCAGACAGTGCCAAAGAGTTCCAGAGTGGCTATATCAATTTACACTTCCACCAGTAATATCTGGTTTTATGTCTCTTCTCATTTATTCATTTATTCATTCAGATTATTATTGACTCACAGATTTTCTATTTTATTCAGTGGGTTGTAACCTAATTCCCGACTTACTTACAGTTTTATTGAGATATAAGAATGTATAAGAATGAGTGCATATTTATGGTGTACAACTAGATGAGTTTTGACCTATGTATACACCTGTGAATACATCACCCCAATCAAGATAATGAACATGTCTATCACCTATGAAAGTTCCTTGTGCCTATTTGTGACCTATTCTTCCCTCTTCCATCCCCATCCTCAGGTAACCACTGGTCTGCTTTCTGTCATTTGCATTTTGTAGAATTTTACATAAATGAAATCCTACAGCCCTGGCTGGTTTTGCTCAGTGGTTAGAGTGTTGGCCCACGGACTGAAGGGTCATGGGTTCAATTCCCAGTCAGGGGTACGTACATAGGTTGCATGCTTCATCCCCAGCCCGGGTAAGGGTATGTGTGGGAGGCAACCAATCGATGTGTCTCTCTCACATCGCTGTTTCTCTCTCTCTCGCCCCCCTCTTCCCTTGACAGCCCTGGATGGTTTTGCTCAGTGGTTAGAGTGTTGGCCCACGGACTGAAGGGTCATGGGTTCAATTCCCAGTCAGGGGTACGTACATAGGTTGCATGCTTCATCCCCAGCCCGGGTAAGGGTATGTGTGGGAGGCAACCAATCGATGTGTCTCTCTCACATCGCTGTTTCTCTCTCTCTCGCCCCCCTCTTCCCTTCCTTCCACTCTTTCTAAAAATCAATGGGAAAATATCCTCAGGTTGTGGTTTTAAAAAAAATTGGGCAAAGGACCTAAATAGACACTTCTCCAAAGAGGACATACAGATGGCCAAGAGACACATGAAAAAATGCTCAAAGTCACTAATGATGCAGAGTGATGCAAATTTAACAACACCTGTCAGAATGGCTACCATCAACAAATCAACAAGCGACATGTGCTGGTGAGGATGTGGAGAAAAGGGAACCCTCGTGCACTGCTGGTGGGAATGCAGACTGGTGCAGCCACTGTGGAGAACAGTATGGAGTTTCCTCAAAAAACTAAAAATGGAACTGCCATTTGACCCAGTGATCCCACTTTGAGGAATATAATCTAAGAAGCCAGAAACACCAATCAGAAAGAATATATGCAGCCCTGTGTTCATAGTAGCAGTATTTACAATAGCTAAGATCTGGGAACACCCTCCAAGTGCCCATCAGTGGATGAAAAAGCTGCAGTGGGTTTACACAATGGAATACTATGCAGCTGTAAAAAAGGGGGGATCTTTTATCCTTTGAGACAGCATGGAGAAACCTGGAGCATATTATACTAAGCAAAATAAGAAAGACAAGTATCACATGATCTCACTCATATGTGGAATCTAATGAACAAAATAAACTGATGAACAAAATAGATCCAGAGACATGGAAGCATGCAATAGAATGATGAATCTCAGAGGGAAGGGGGAGGTGAGGTGGGAAGAGATTAACCAAGGAATTTATATGTAGATATGCATAACCCATGGACACAGACAAGATGAGGTAGGCCTGGAGAGGGGATGGGTATGGGGTGTAGGGCATCATTGGGGGTGAAAATGGGGGACATCTATAATATTTTCAACAATAAATTTTTTTAAATAGTTCCTTTTATTGCTGAGTGATAGTCCATTGTATGAATGTACCACAGATTATTTATCTATTCAGCCATCAAACAAACCAAATGATAAGCACATAGGTTGTTTCCAGTTTTTGTCTATCCTATATAATAAAAGCCTAATATGCTGTGTCCAGTCGTTCGTTCAACCAATCAAAGCGTAATATGCTAATGATATGCTAAGGCTGCTCAACCACTCGCTATGACGTGCACTGACCATGAGGGGGAAGATGCTCTGACTGGTAGGTTAGCTTACTGCTGGGGTCCAGCTAATCAGTACTGAGTGAGATGGGCCGGACATGCCCTGGAGCCCTTCCACGGTCCCTTTCCGGCCGGCCAACCTCCCGCATCCCTCCCCAACCCCGATCATGCACCGGTGGGGTCCCTCAGCCTGGCCTGAGCCCTCTTACAATCCAGGACCCCTCAGGGGATGTCGGAGAGCCGGTTTTGGCCCAATCCCTCAGGCCAGTCCGAGGGACCCCACTGGTGCACGAATTCGTGCACCAGGCCTCTAGTTACATCTTCTGAGACCACATCCATGCCCCTCCAGGATCTGGTCACAAAATTCAGGATACATGCATCATTGCCAGGCCCCCAACCTCCCACCCACTGCCACCTTTGTCCTGAGCTGTGGGAGTCAGAGAGAATCAGGCCTTGAGGGTGAGGGAGCAGAACTCAGCAAAGAGGCCAGAGGTTTGTTCCAAATATTTTTTTAATAAATAAACAAAATCCACTAGATTGATGCAGCAAACTAAGGTCAGAGGAGAGGGGAAACGAGGGAGGGAAGAGCCCCTGAGTCAGCAACGCCACCTCCTCCCCAACCTTCTGGGCTAAGGCACTTTTGGGGAGACAGGTCCTTGGGGTCCTGTTATGCTAGGGGAATGGGAGCGGGAGAGATTAGCCCCACCTTGCATCAGGACATCGCCGCCCTTCTCACCCTACCCCGCAACCCTATTCCTGATTTCCCCTCTCCTCTCACAGTGTTCTAAGGGGAAGTTTGGGGGGGAGAGGTCTATGCCTCTGAGGAAACAGATCCTGAAAATCCTGCTGGGACACCAGCAGCCCACTCTGCCCTCTTCATCCTGAGGCGCCATCTCTGGGGAAGGGATGGAGGGGACACACGGGCCACGCTGGGACCCAGGAGGCTATGCAGTGCCTGGCACAGGGTGCCCGTCGGAGCCCAGCTCGGGGTGCCCGTCAGCAGCCAGGATGGGGTGTGCATCGGGGCTCTCCCGCCGGGGGCTACCCCAGTTGTTCCTCAGAATGGTGCCCGTCTTTTCCTCCTTGAACTGCTGTCGGTCTTCTCGCGGGATCTTTACCGCGTGGTACTGGGGCACGGTGGCCTCGGGGTACCGCGCCCGCTTGAAGAATCCCATCTGTGAGAACACCAGGCCAGACGTGAGGAGGCTGCAGGGCTGAGGTCCCTGGGGCAGATGCCCAGCACAGCCCAGCTCCTGGCTCCACCACCCCTGGGACGGAAAGAACCAAGTGCAGCAGGAAGGAGCTGGGGGAGCAGCCCCCACAGTGCCCCCGTCAGTGCTCAGTGCCCAGGTTCTCGTTTACAGCAAGAGAAAGACCGGGGGGCCCAAGGAGCAAGACCACGGACATCTCCCTTGGTACCTGAGGGAGGGGCTGAAGGTAGGACATCAGGACTGCTGACCCCAAAGGTCTCCCAGCACAAGCTTTTCAGGAGACCCACTAGCATTGCCCAGGACACAAACGAAATCTGAGGGAAAGCATGGCTTCCTAGAGCCCTGCATACTCCGAAGTGGCTCCTCTCAAGCCATGTACATGTACAGCCTGTGTACTCACTGGCAGCACCCCCCTGAGGACAGGGCCTTCTATCCATGAACTTGGTGACCCAGCCCTTCCCTAAATCCTGAACATGCTACACTCACACTCGGGACTGCCAGAGACTGGGACATGCTCAGACTGCACGGTACCTCCTTGCATGTTTGTCTCTGCACTTCATGCCCAAGAAAAGGCATGCATGGCACCTCCCTGCACTCCACATGCTCACACTGCAAGACCCCACCCAGCCCCCTGTGCATGCCCCCGGCTGTGTGTACTCACGCTTCTAAGCTCATCCTTACATTATCTTCCACCCCAGTTCCTAGGACTCACCCCACCCTCATGCAATCTCATTTCTTCACCCTGAATGTTCCTGAACGCTGGGCACGCTACTAACACTCACACACACACATACACACACACGCACACACACATGCACACGCACATATTTGTACACACGCACGCACACATGCACACAAACAAAAATTACCCCACAGTCCCTTATTTGTACACACGCACACACACATGCACACACACATATTTGTACACACGCACGCACACACATGCACACAAACAAAAATTACCCCACAGTCCCTGGACCCCCAACTTCCACAGCCGAGGGCTGCACGGCCAGACGGGCCCGGTGATAGTTAGTGGGAAAAGATGAGTTCTGGCTGCTCCGACGGAAGAAGCCACACTGGGATGTCAAGGGAGAAGGGGAGCAGATGAGGGGGAGACAGGAGACTGAGGAAGGGTGGGGCTGTCTCTGCTCTGCCCCTTCTGTGGGTGCGGGGAGCCCGGATCCTGGCACCAGTTTCATGAAGGCAGCAATCTCCCCCAAGGACGACCAGGTTCCCACAGTGTGGGTGCCACTCCAGAGGCCTGGCCCCCTGATGGCTCCCACTGGTCAAAGGGTGAGTTTGGTCTGTGATTGGCTGGGGCTGGGATGGGAGGCTGTTCCCCACATGGCCCCGAGGACAGCACGGTTCCATACAGTCTCGCTGTGGCATGTGGGTTCGGGTATGCCCTGCACTGAGTGCTTTGATGTGGAGCCCCAGACACAGATTTGATTCTGTCTATACTCTGTGTCTACAAGAATGTCCATGGGGAACCTGGTATGTGGAGGCTCCAAGTTCAGTCCTAGGGGCAGTTTCCTGGGTTAGTTCCCCAGGCTGTTGGCCTTCATGGCCAGTTTCCTTCCCAGCCTTACCCTGCCACGCTCTAATTAAGCCAGACCACACTTCCCTGCCTCCATGACTCCCCCACCCCCTCACCTCCCACATCCAGATCCTACTACCCCGCCTTCTTCTCGCAGTGGTTCTCAACCTTCCTAATGCCTCGACCCTGTAATACAGTTCCTTTATACAGTTATGTTGTGGTGAGCCCCAACCATAAAATTATTTTCGTTGCTACTTCATAACTGTAATTTTGCTACTGTAATGAATCGTAAAGTAAATATCTGATATGCAGGATGTCTTTTCAGGGGTCTCGACCCACAGGTTGAGAACCGCTGTAAGGCCTGGCTCCTGGGCCTCCTGCCCGCAGCCATTTCTCCTCAGAGCTCCCACTGCACTTTCTTGACTGACTGCCCATCCTTGACTCCAAGGCCCCCTCCCTCACTAGACTGTCAACCCCCTGAGGACAAGACCTACATCTGGCTTGTCTCTGAACCGTCCAGGACCTGACAGAGTCCCTGGCACAAGCAGGGCAGGTGCTCAGTGCAGATTTGCTGAGTAAATGAAGCGGGTGGGTGAGAACCACGCAGGAAAGGCCACCTCCCCGCCAGGGAAGCCCAGCCCCCACCGGCCCCATCCTCCCCAAGCCGCACCTTCCACAGGAGCAGCACCAGCAGCGCCAGCACCAGCAGCCCCGCCAGGACAGCCAGGAGGATGACCCACCAGGGGACTCCCTCTGCCACCACGGCCACGGGGTCCAAGTACACCATCACTGGGATCTGGGGAGCGAGGGGTTAATGGAGCAAGAGCTGGGGCAGCAGGAGAGAAGAGCTCCTCCACCCCCACCTCCAGTCCTGCGGCTCACCACTGTGGAGGCATCTCTGAGCACCAAGTTCTTGATGGAAGACTTCACGGTGATGTTGGCTCGGACAATCACTTCCAGGGACTTCACAGCTGAGTACTCCTAAGGGAGCAGGGAAGCAGGCCCTCCTCCTAAATGCCCCCATCCCCTCACCCCGCCCCCAGCTCCTGAAATTGTAGAATGGTGCCCAACACAGAGCATGTTTCTACCTGTCTAGGTTTAAGAGTGTGCTGCAGCCCAGCCGGTGTGGCTCAGTGGTTGAGCACCAACCTATGAACCAGGAAGTCACAGTTCGATTCCCGGTCAGGGCACAGACCCGGGTTGCAGGCTTAATCCCCAGTGTGGGACATGCAGGAGGCAGCTGATCAATGATTCTCTCTCATCATTGATGTTTCTATCTCTCTCTCTTTCTTCCTTTCTCTATGAAATTAATAAAAATATATTTAAAATTTAAAAAAGAGTGTGCTGCATTTGTAAAGGGAAGAGGTAGAAGAGAAGTGAGTCCTGGAGGGGCTGCCGGGGAAGAGGACACCCAGTCCAAGCCCTAGTCACACTCTCACCTCCAGGAAGGTGCTGTTCCAGAGGCGGCCCCAGACATGCAGCACAGCCGCGCGGTCGAAGCTGTAGAGTGGGCAACTGAACAACACGCAGTTGGCGGTGCCCCGGGCGCAGTCCTGGGGACCAGACGGACAGGGCTTTGAGCTGCTGAGCCTGCCCAGGGCCCATATCCTCACAAATGCAGTCACACAGACAGAGTCTGCCCAGATCCTTCATCCATCCCTCCATGAGCCTCCACATCTTGGACCCCTTTTCTCCTTGCTCCTCACCCATATCTCTATTTTCATGACCAGGCCTCAAACTTCCCTCCTCCAGGAAGTCTTCCCAGACTAACCCTAACCCAAATCTGGGCTATTTGGCTTTGAAATGCATGGGGAGCAGGGTGGAGGGCTCTTCCTTGACAGCAGCAGGCAGATTAGCTTCCCCAATTGATGTGGATGTGACCTAATGTTGGTCCCGTTAATTGAGCACCTACTACCTGCCAGGTACTTATCTCATTTAAGCTTTACAACTATCCTGCAAGATGCATATTATCATCATCCCCATTTTTCAAATTAGAAAATTGAGGCTCAAAGCGTCCAGGTGACCTACCTTAGGTCCCAGAACTAGCAAAACTGATAAGTGGTGAAGCTCATCTTTGAACCCAGGTCCATATTGGGCAAAACCATACTCCTACACTAAGCCCAACTCACTGACAGGAGAGGAGGCTGGGGGGACTCAGGCCCTGCTCCTTCCAGGCCTGACCCATATCCATTTGGCCTAACTTCACCTCATGGTCTACTTGCCTAAAAACATATTCAACACACTTCAGAGACAGAAGAATGGCTTGAGAGTGTTTGAATTCTGTCAATCGTCTTTTATTTGGCTACTTTTGAGTAAATCAAGAACCCTCGGTCAATGTGTCTAAAAACAAGGCCTTAATTTTAAGTTAAAGAATTAATTTCAGCCCTAACCAGTTTGGCTCAGTGGATAGAGCATCAGCCTGCGGACTGAAGGGTCCCAGGTTCGATTCCGGTCAAGGGCATGTACCTTGGTTGCGGGCACATCCCCAGTGGGGTGTGTGCAGGAGGCAGCTGATCGATGTTTCTCTCTCATCAATGTTTCTAACTCTCCCTCTCCCTTCCTCTCTGTAAAAAAATCAATAAAGTATATTTTTTTAAAAAGAATTAATTTCAAAGTTCTGAATAAAAAAGGAGTTCTTTCAGAGGAAATTCGCCTCATGGAGAAGGTCAGACCACCCATACACCAGGGAAACAGCAGTCGCCTTATCCCCAGGCACCTTCCTTCGCCTCAGGCCTGCTCTCAGGGGAGCAGGGGAGCGGAGGGCCAGGAGGCACCGGGTGTCAGTGGAGCTCCCTCCCAGACCGATGAAGCCAGAGCTGGCCCAACTGCTCACATTCCCCTGCGAACAGTCTTCCACTCCTTGCCTCCACGCCTGGCTTCACCTCCTGGCAACTGGCCAAATACCCCCTTAATCGTGTTCCCCCCACACTCTCACTGCAGCACCATTCTCAAGGGGTGAGCATAGAGAATATGCCAATTTGCTCCATAAATCCACTTAAAGGACAAAACTTCGTAAAGCAAGCAGGAAAAGGGGGGCGAAACTGCTCAAAGGGGATAGACTTAATGAATCACACATAATACACTATCGTTTTAATTATTAGAACTTCTTAAAACTTAAAATGCTTTCGACATTGTAAAAATCAAGCAGGTTTTCTTACACAAATTGACTTTTTTGTCCTAAAAGACTTCAAAAGAACAACAGATTTCAAAGGTAGCTAAAACCATCCCATCCCTATGAAATGCTATCTTTGGGCCCAACTGGCGTGGCTCAGTGGTTGAGCATCGACCTGTGAACCAGGAGGTCACGGTTTGATTCCAGTCAGGGCACATGCCAGGGTTGGGGGGTTCGATCCCCAATGGGGGGGCGTGCAGGAGGCAGCCAATCAATGATTCTCTTTCATCATTGATGTTTCTATCTCTCCCTCTTCCTTCCTCTCTGAAATCAATAAAAATATTTTTTTAAAAACTAAAGTGTTATCTTTGGTATAAATGTGAGGAGCACCGAATGCACAGCCAACTGCCCTGCTCTCGAGTAAGCACTTGGCAGGTGTGCGGGACTGTCCATCAGCCCTCAGCAGGCCAGCCTCCCTGGACACCCACCACGCTGAGTGAAGCGCCATGCCCTCAGCATCCTCTGTCACCCCCCCACACACACCCCCATTCTGCCTGCACACATTTGCCCTGCCCTCACCAGGGTGATGTTTTTCTTCTTCTCAGCAGAGGACACTGGCCACCAGGATGTGCTGGGCTCCTGCTGCTCAGGAGGCACCTGCTGCTCCGGCTGCTCCGGCTGCTCCAGCTCTCGACGCCTCCTGTCCCTGCTGTCCACATCCTGGATGTGGGGAAAGGGGCCCAGTGAGTGTCCCTCCAAATACGGCAATCCTGAGATGGCATCTCCTCCCCACTGCCTTCCCCCCCCCGCCCCGCCCCCTGCCACACACACACACACACACACACACACACACACACACACACATGCACGCGTGCATACACACACCTCATAGACAGGACGGAGCCTCACAGCCCAGGGGTCTCTTTGGGCCTGGGGGAACAGAGTCCCTTCTGCCCAGGGCCCTGCCCGCCCTCCAGCTCCACCCGCATGGGGTACAGCAGCCACTTCCCGTTGGCAATCTCGTGGGGCCACATGATGTTGAGGAAGGCAGAGCCAAGGGTGTTGAGTGACTGGCCCTGGTTGGAGACCTGTGGCACAGAGAATGTGAAGGGAGGGGGCTGGTTTCTGAGCGGCCCTAAATCACAGCGATGGAGGGGATGGGGTCGAGGGGAGGGCCTCGGGAAGCACAGTTTCAACAAAGATTCAGGATCTGAGACCCCACTAGGCACCACTCTATGCCAACCCCAAACCCAGGAAAACCTGGAGAGGTCCCTGGGAGGTGTGGGAAGCCCCAGCCAAGCCAGAGCAGAGTTCTGAGGAGAGACATCAGCCCTCCCCGCCATGTTCCCATCCCCCAGCTGAGGCCCCAGACAGAGAAGCTTCCCGGGGCTCTCATGGCCTCCCGTTAGAGATGACCAGGAAACACCTGCCCACAGCTGAGGTCCAGGAGCAGGGGGAGGCCTCGAACTCACCATAGAGTAGAAGACCCCACCCTTGGGACCTGTCTCAGACACTTCTCTGTGCCAAGAAGGGAGGGCGACCATGAGGGACCACATACCAGGACACTTACCGTGACCTCATACTTGACCTTGCTGCCCACATCCCGCTCAGACCGCATGGCACTTTCACCCCGCACCACGCCGGAGAAGAAGAGCTGCTGGGGAATGGCCACCCTAGAAAAGAGGGGTCAAATGGGGACTGCGGAGGCCTGAGGCCTGACAGAGAGTCAGGAGGCAGAGCCCAGGCCTGGGTGTGGGAGTGGCAACGCCTGCCCCTCCAGCGCAGGTGCCCACTGGGGCCGGGCTTACCCCGTAATGGACAGTGGCAGCTCAATGAAGACATTGGCCCGGGCAGAGACGGGGTGCAGCTCCTGCTCGCTGATCCTGGTGTGTGGGCAAAGGCAGGAGTGGGCACGGGCACCACCTCAAGGGTGAGTCCCTTTTAGGTAGACATCAATTCCACTGCCCCCAACCTTACCCACCCCAGGCCCAGCAGGCTTACGTGGACAATAGCAGCTCCACCTCCAGCTCTGTGGTCTCAATGGTGATTCCTGAGGTGCTGAGGATGAGGTAGAAGGCGATCTAGGCCAATGGTGGGGTGGGATTAGAGCCAAGGGAAGCCAGGAACTTGAGGAGGGGTCAGGGGTTAGAGGTCACTCAGATAGGGATAAGGGCAGATGTGCCAACCTGGGCATCTCTCTTCATGGGGTTCCCCAGCTCACACTCAACACGGGAGGCATTCTCATTGGACAGGCACAGGGGCTTCTCCTGGAGTGGGGAGAGGGGAGGTCAGTTTGGGTTAATGCAGACCCCCAAGACCATGCCCCCCGCCCCGGTCCTCACCGCAGGATCCAGGGCCCGCACTCCTGAGTAGTGCAGAGAGGCAGGGAGGCTGACCAGCAGCTGGGCTTCATGGGCATCGTCCCCATCAGCCTGGGGCTGTGCTGGGTCCGAGGGAAAATTGGTGACCTTCAGCTCCAGGCCGATGAATGGCTGCCCACTCAGTGCAAACAGGGCTGTTGTCCCATCCACATCCCTAGAGGGTCAGATCCCACTCACTCTAAGATCAGAAAATCTCCCCCTGCCTCGCCCACTCCTGCCTCCCTCCCCCAGTGAATGCCACTGGCCTCCGCTCCCTGAGCCTCTGCTCCCACCAGTCCAAGCCTCAGGTCCTCCCCATGTTCCAGAGATCCAGGATGGGAGCCGGGGGCCTTCGTTCTGATCCCAGCTCCACCACTGACTCCTCATCTTGGGCAAGTAACCTCTGAACCGCTCTAGGCCTCTGTTCTCCATCTATGCAGTGGGACTAATAATAATTCCTACCTCACAGGGTCGGGAAGGACTGCTAGTCCTTGCACAGTAGCCCCTCTGCCCCATCACTGACCCTCATCTGCAGTCTTCTGAATCATCAGCAGGTCTCCCCCAGCCTTCCAGCCTCCCGCTGCAGGCTCAGCCCCTCCCTCTGCCTGGCCCTCCTGAAGGGGCTTCCTTCCGTTCCTTGAACTCTTGCCTGCCCACCCCACCTGCCCCCTTGCCCCACTCACATGGGCAGAGGCTTGAACTCCGTGTCGCTGACCCGGGCACAGAAGCGGGCGTGGACCAGCTGCAGATTGCTCTGACAGATCTTATCTTCACCACAGCCTTGCTTCAGGAAGTGGACCTGGGAAGAGATTTTTTTCTTTTTTGTTTTGTTTTCTTTTGTTTGTTTTATTGATTTTAGAGAGAGGAAGATGAGAGAGAGAGAGAGAGAGAGAGAGAGAGAGAGAGAGAGAGAAACAGAGAGAGAGACAGAGAGAGAGAGCGAGAGAAAGAGAGAGGTTGCCTCCTGCAGGTGCCCCAACCAGGCATCAAACCGGCAACCTGGGTATATGCCCTGACCAGGCATTGAACCCGCCACCTTTTTGTGTACAAGATGACACTCCAGCCAACTGAGCACATTGGCCAGGGCTGGGAAGAGATTTGAGGAGAGAGTCATTCCTAGGGGACAAGAAAGGGTGCAAATGTGTCACCAAGGCATATGGTGGGGTCGAGTATCACAGGATTACACAACCTGGATTCAACTCCCAGATCTGCTGCTTGCTGCCTGTGTGGTATTGAGCTGGTCAGCTAACCACGCTGAGCTGTGCCCTCATCAGTACAACGATGGGAGTACTGTGATGCCGCAGTAGAGACTAGCAGGCTGGTCCACTGCAAGACCCTCTCTCCCCAGCCTTCCTTGCAGGTAACTGAGTTCCAGATTCGGAAGGTGAAGAGAAAGTGAAGAGTGCCACTTCCAGACTGTCCGTGAGAACCATACGCGGAGCTTTGTGCTCCCCCTCCCAGCTGAGCAGGATGGAGGTGACCTAAGGGCCTTGGAAGCCACATTTGAAAATGGCAGACCCACATCAGCCTGGGCCCCTGAATGACCCATAGAATCAAAGAGCACTGCTCCCTCTGACTAGGAACACATGACCCTTTGGGCCATTTCCCACTCTGAGGTCTAGTTGTTACAGCACCTGAGACATGAGGAACTGCTGGGAAACACGTGAAGGAACTCTGCAAGCTATGAGCGAATGTCACTGATGAGGGACTATGATCACTGCTCCTCCCAGCAACTTTTTCTGGCTAAATCAGAACCCATGCTCACCTCTGCTCGGTGGGTGCTGGGCTGGTGGGCATTGAGGATGGGGGCCACTGGGGGCAGCCCCTGGCCAGGAACCTGTCGCCGAAGCCGAGGGGTCTGCAGACTATAGGACAGGGTCACCACAATGGCCCGAAGCTTGTCTTTGACATTCTCCTGGAAAGGGGAAAGATGAAATGAATACAAGAACAATCCCCAGGCCATAGCCTTGACCAAAGCCCCACCCAGACCTAGGACAAATTCTGAAACGTGGAAAGAAGTTTAGGGAGATGAAGGAGAAAAGTGGAGAGCTGAGCAGGAAGGGAGAGTGACTAGGGTGGACAAGGGAAGAGACCCAGGATTTAGGGCTTTGAGGACCAGATGTGACCATGGACCCTGCCATCTCCATCTCCAGGGAGTACAGAACTCGGCAGGAGACATAAGAAGGCAACAGGTGAGGAGGAGGTCAGCCCGTAAGGGAGGCTTCCCAGAAGTCCAGATCTCAGGACAAGGTGTGCGTGTGTTAGGGAAGAAGCTAAGAGGAATCCAGGAGAAGAGATCATGCCATGACCATGACCCTCAGTGGCCAAGGGGTCAGTGTCCACCTGTAACTGAAACATGGTGTCTCCGCAGACTCGGTCATGCTGGTGTTTCAGCCACACGGTGCCCGAGGCCTGGTGCTTAGGGTCATCTGGGCCACGGCTCAGGAAGGTCACACGGGGAACCTGGCCCCGGAGCCTTCGGTCTGTGTCCCCGTCTAGCACATAATTCAGGGCTTTGGCAAGTGGGGAGAGGAGAGGAGACAGTGAGCTAGGGAACTGCTTCAATCTGACCCTGTTCCCAGGGACCCATCTCTCCACCTTGGAGTGACCTGACCGGAAACCCAAAGCGGTGGGAGGTGGGAAGGAGACCTCACTCACCCACAATAGGGCTGTAGCTGCTGGGGGTTGCCATGTAGCTGAAACAGACTCTTATGTCCACACTGTGGGGGGTAAAGGGTAGCTGATGGGCCAAGGCCCCACCCCCACCCTGCCCACTCCTGACCCAGCCTCAGCCCCTAGTGCCAAACTAGGCAGAGAAATGGAGAAGGAAGAGGGGCCTGGAGGCCCTGGAGGTCCCCACCCAGCCTCCCTCCCCTTGGATCCCGCCTCACCAGACCAAGTGGCCGCCAGCACAGTTGGGCTGTTCTAGGTCAATGGCTCGTGGAGCAATGATGACCTCGTGGGAGACGTGGAGGACAGGCCTGGCCCTGGGGAATGGGGAGTTGAGGGCACGAAGAACATGAGAAGATCAGGCTGGGAAATGGGAGGGGGCTCTTCAGCATCAGATTTGGGGTGAGTGGGGCTTATGTCCTCAGGAAGGGAGAAGACAGGAGCTCACCTGAAGAGCACAGCAGTGTCGGCCAGGGAGCCCACCAGCAGGTCAGGGTAATGGTTCCCATCCACGTCCAGGCCGCCCGACAGGGAGTAGCCGAAGCTCTTCAGGCTCACGGCCTCGCCCTCCAGCACCTGCAGGTCCTGACTGTCAGCCAGCACCCCGCCTCCCCTCCTCCCCTGCCCTCCGTTGCTATGCCCCTTATGGCACCCACACCCACTCCCTCATCCCAACAAGCCCCTCACCTGGGAAGGTTTGATGACAACCCCCAGGCTGCTCCCGTGGTAGATAAAGACTTTCCCATCCCCATCAAAGGGAGCGCCCACTGCGATATCTGTGCGAGCAGAAAAGGCAGTCAGACTGTGGGGGCAGGGGTGACGGGGTCCAGGCCCCAACGTTCCCTCCGTCACTCAGTTCCATACCATACGTGTTCTATTTCATTGAGAAGCCACTGAGTCCCAGGCACCTTACACACCTCACAGCTCATTTTTTAAATATATTTTTATTGATCTCAGGGAGGGAGAGAAAGACAGAAACATCAATGATGAGAGAGAATCATTGATCGGCTGCCTCCTGCACACCCCGCACTGGGGATCGAGCCTACAACCCAGGCATGTATGCCAATCTGGAATCAAGCTGTGACCTCCTGGCTCATAGGTCAAGGCTCAACCACTAAGCCACACCGGCCGGGCCTCACACCTCATTTTTTAAACCTCTCAGCTATTCTCTGCAAATATTACTAGCTCAGAAACATTAGGTAACTTGCCCAAAGTCATAAAGCTGGTAAATGATAACGTTCAGGTGTGAGCCATGTGGCTTCTCTCCCTGAGCCCACAAAAGACCTCCCCTTGGGGGGAAATGGGCAACATCTGTGATAGTGTCAACAACAACAACAACAAAAAAGAAAGAAAGAGAAGCCCTCCCTGACCTCTGAGGCACCTCCCACCCCCCGCCCCTGCCCTGCCCCTCCCTGTCCTGAGCCCTCCAGTTCCCGTCACACCTGGGAAGCCATCGTGGTTGAGGTCCCCGAGGACAGCCAGGCTGATCCCAAACATGGAGTCGGGGGAGCCACAGAGCCGAAGCGGGGAGACCTCAGCCCAGTGACCCCCCTGGTTCATGTACACATACACGGCACCCCCCAGCTCTTCTTGGCGCTCAAAGAAGTAGGGGGCACCCACTACCAGGTCTGCCCAACTATGGAGAAAGAACGACAGTCAGTGTGGGGTCCTGCCCACCCAGGGAAGTCAGGAGGAGATGCCAGAGGCCCCTCGGACCTTCTGGACCCAGCTCCCGCGGCTCCACCCCCGGCCGCCCACTCACCCGTCGTTGTTGAGATCAGCCACCGCCAGCGAGTAGCCAAAGCCGGAGGTCAGGCGCTCCCCTGACAGCATAACTTCGGGCACCAGGCGACTGGCACTGTCTTTGCGCAGAATGACCACAGCCCCCTTGTGGTTTGCCCGGGGGGCCCCTGCCACGAAGCTCAGTTCCTCGGCACGCACCAGACTCTTCCCCGAATCGATGGAGAAACCTGGGCAGGTGTGGCCTCCCAGTGAGCTCAAGAGCCAGGGCGAGTCACAGCCCCCCACCTCCTCTCCTCATGGGTCTGGGGCCAGAGACGGAGCCCCCCTCCAAGTGATCACCACCACAGCTGCACTTCTCCGCCCCTCCAGAGGCCTCACAGCCCCCCGCCCACCCAGAGCCTGGAGTTTGGCACAAGAAGTGCAATGAGATCAGCCTCGGGGACTGGGGAGGAGAGAGAAAGGCAATGGCTGAGAAGCCAGACACTGGGCAGGAGCAAACCCACCGGCAGGAGCTGGGGCAGGCCCCACCCCTCCGATTCCCAGAGAACTCCTCTGCCCTCTGCACGCCCAGGGGGCCCCATCCTGTCCAGTGCACCTTCTGCGCCCCCACTCCCACCATCCTGGCAGGGAGCGAAGTCTTCACATGGAGGCGGGAGACAAGGGAAGTGGGGAAGAGCTTGATCCACCCCAGTATCTCCCAGGCCTCCTTTCCTCCTTCTCTGCCGTGGGATGCAGATGAGACAATGAGAGGGACGTACCAACACGGCTAGACTTTTCTGCACACACACACTCACACTCACAAACCCCTATGCAGACTTTTGTCCAGCATCCATCCCTGAGAAAATGTCCCCCTGGAGGTCTAGCCTCCTTCCTTCCCACATGGTGTCCACCCACCTCGTAGGTTCTTCTCACCCCCACCCCTGCCTATGAAGACCCCTGTTCACAGCCCCTTAGGTTGTCCCCCATGGGGCCTCTTCTTCTTGGGCCTGGTTACTGGGCCCAGCTTGTCTCTGAAATTTGGGCCCAACATGTATTTCCCTGGGTGTGTGTTGGGGGAGGGAGGGGAAGCCAGGCCAAGCCCCCAGGGCCCAGGAGGACGTGGGTGGGCGCTTACAAACCTAAGTAGCTATTCAGGGCCAAGTCTCCGGCTGGTCCTGGGAGCCGGTCAGCGGGGTCCAAAGTTTTATACACCAGCTGGTCGGGGTCTGAGCTATCAATGTTGGTCACAAAGAGCAACCCTGTGGGGGCCGGGGGGGGGGGGGACGGGGAGAGACACCGGGGAAGGGACATCCAGAAGACGGGCCACGGAGTGGAGAAACAGAGCCAGACACAGGCAAGAAGGAGACGAGGAAAAGGCGGAGAAAGAATACAAGAGAGACAAAGAGGCCAAAGGGATAAGAATAGAGAAACGAAGACAGAGATAGAGACGGGAGGGTGGGAGCGTGGAGAGGGAGGACAAGAGAGAGGAGCAGAGGGTTAGAGAGGCTCTGGGCCAGGAGGGGTCCCTACCAAAGTAGCTGTTGGCAGGGACCGGGATGAGGCGGGGGTCCTGCTCCTTCTCACCCCCCGCCTCGTAGGGCCCGTCGTCCAGGTGGGCCAGGTCCGCTGAGCCCTGCGCACAGAGCTCCACCCTGGCAGTGCCTGCAAGGACAGACCCGTTAGTGCCAGGGCAGGAGCCCCCTTTAGGCCAGATGGTAGTGAGACAGCCACACAAGGAAGCCCCTCCTCTCCTTTCCAGCACCACCTCCCCTCCCCCCCAAGCTTCTGGGGTCCCACAGACTTGGCACACACTCACCGAGTGTCAGCTCAGCCAGCGGCAGCGTGCGGAGACGGGCATGGGAGTGATGAGGTGTGGGCTGGTGTGGTGGTAAGGAGGACCAGCCGTGCGTGTGGGCTCATGCCAGCGTGTTGAGGAACACTCGGCCATGCGAAGGAGAGGAGATACCTCCATTCGTGTGTGTGCTGGCATGATAGGGGTGGAAGGCATGGCAGTGCCCGGGGCTACATGGCAGTGAACATGTGGGCATGCGTGGCCACGTGCTGCCCGCAGTCCCCTCTCTGAGCTAAGAGGACCGTTTGGTTGCCTTCTCCCCTCCGGGAGGAGTGACTCACCCTTCCAGTTATAGGTTCCTGGGGCCCCAAAGAGGAGGTAGTGGCTGTCAGGGGAGAAGGCAGCGGCCGCGCCCTGCTGGCAGAACCCAAATTGATCGTGGCCCTGGGGGCGCCCCTCACAGAACTTCCACTCGCCACCATCCAACTCATCCCGGATGGCCAGGTCCTGGCTTAGCACAAAGCAGCGACCGATCACGTCCCTCGTCTCCAGGATTTGGTCCACTCGCTGCCTGGCCTCATATCTGTGCGCACAGGTCTGCAGGAGGAAGGAGGCAGGGGCCATTCCCCTGGGTGGGCCCGGGGCCTGCTTCAGCCACGCTGCCCACATGCAGACACTAGGCAGGCGCTGGCTCATGTGCACGTACCACACACACACTCACTCACAATCCCCTGTGCGGGCACCACTTGAGCACCACCCGCCCAGTGTTACCATGACCCACTGTCCCATCGGCACCCACTCCCTTGCCCTGGGCACCCACAGGCATGACTAAGCCAGAACACAGGCCTCGTGGCTTCGTGATTTCACCCAACGTGCCAAGTTTGACCCTGTCTCTGGCCCTTGGTGCATCACCTCATCTTCCTCCCTGCTCCACTCTCCAAGTATCAGTTATTCTTGAAAGCCTGACTCAGATCGCCCCATCTGCAGGAGTCCTTTCTCTCCACGCCTTCAGACTTCGATCTGGGGACTATACGCTCACTTAACATTAACCGTGCTCGGCCCCATACTGACTTGTATTCATAATTGTGGCCCTGGAGCATCCCATGCGCCAAACGGTTGCCGGTTGGATTCCCTGTCAGGGCACATGCCCGGGGCTGCAGGCTCGATCCCCAATAGGGGGTGTGCAGGAGGCAGCTAATTGATGTTTTGCTCTCACATTGATGTTTTTCTCTCTCCCTCTCCCTTCCTCTCTCTCTAAAAATCAATTTTTAAAAGTCTTTGAAAAAAATAATAATTGTGTGTTTGTGCATGTTAGTAATGATACAGAGAGAGACAGAGAAGGAGAGGATGAGACTCTCCATATGCAGTAGCTATTTGAGGCATGGACCAAGCTTTTCCCTGTCTTTACATAGCCTCTCCCAGTAGCTAGCACAATGCCTGATGCTTAACAAGTTCTCAGTAAGCGTTTGACAAATGGATGAATGGATGAAATGTTTAGATGGTTTAAATGTATAAGGACAGGGGCCATGTCTTATACTTTTTTTATATCTCCTTGAGGTCCTGGAAATCAGACCATCATACAAATGCCCAACCTGTGTTCTGTAAGCACATCTATGCATTTGTGCGTACGCGCACGCACACACACACACACACACACACACACACCCATATCTATGCATTTGTGCGCGCACACACACACACACACCCCACCCTGGCATGCGGTTACAGAAGTGGTACTCACAACAATCTTGCCCCCAGGACCCTGGCTCCGAACACTAACTCCCAACCACTGGTTCTCCTTGCTCTCCTTCTGCACATCAGCTGGAGGCAGGACACTGGGAATTAGGGGAGGGAAGAGGAGGCCAAGTCCTCTCCTCCCCTCTTCATGTGCACCCCCCACTCCACTCCCACAGCGCACATACCTCCCTGGTCAATGTCCACTCTGTAGCAGTCAGTCTCCTCCAGGCTCAAGGGGCAAGCGAAGAGGCCTCCAGTGCGGTTCGCCTGCTGCCCAGGCAGAGCCAGGGCCTGGGGAGCGCCCACCAGCAGCCTGTGCCACGGGGCAGGGGCAGGAGTGAGCAGCCAGAATGCTCCCCCTCCACAGAGCTGCCCTGGCCCAAACCCTCAGTACCAAGCAGAGTGTCGAAGGACTAAGAATAAAGGCCAAAAGGCAATTTCCTAAGTCCTGACCAGGGCAGGTGAGACAAGGAAATCATATTTATTTGGCACCTACTCTGGGTCAGGCTCTAGGCTAAATGCCAGGGACATGAGGACATTAACCTTAACATACTTGGCCATGTAATCATCATGTTACATATGCACATACTATCTGTATGAAGAACCACATGCACAGCTAAAACTGGTTTGGCTCAGTGGATAGAGCGTCGGCCTGCGGACTGAAGGGTCCCAGGTTCGATTCCGGTTGAGGGCATGTACCTTGGTTGCGGGCACATCCCCAGTGGGGAGTGTGCACGAGGCAGCTGATCGGTGTTTCTCTCTCATCGATGTTTCTAACTCCCTATCTCTCTCCCTTCCTCTCTGTAACAAATCAATAAAATATATTTTAAAAAAAAAAAGAACCACATGCACAGTAGACACACACACACACACACACACTCACTCACTCACAGCAACCCGACAGCCTGGCCAGCAGTGCTGGTTTGAAAGAACCGCCTGTTTCCAGCACCTGTTCCTGACCAGGCCTTTCCTACCCACTCCCTGGCCCCATTCCCAAGCTCTGCCCTCCTCCCCAGTCCTGTTGAAACCTTCCCAGAAATGCCGAGAATGCTGGGCGCAAGCGTAATAGAGGCCCAGACTGGCACCATGAGGTGGCCCAGGGATCAGGTTTGGAGGCCAAGCAAGAGGCTAGACATGGGCCTACTTCCCCCACCCTTTCATCAGGGACCCGCCAAAGACCCCACCCCGCAACCCTGCCAGCCCAGGGTTCTATAGTCACTCCGGCCGGCAGGCAGCAAGGTAGAGGCAAATTTCTCATCTGGTCTCCAATCTTCCCTCCATTCTCCCCCCACTTCCTGAAACCCCTTTCCCAGCCTTCCTTCTCCTCCCACAG